GAAGTTCTTTTATTCTCACCAGCAACAACATCATTAGAACATTGAAATCAAGCAAATATGTTCCCAAAACAACCTGGCCGATCTCTTCACCAAGTCATTGCCTAAGTCTACTTTTCAGAAGCTTGTCCAAGGAATCGATATGCGTAAATTATCTGAGTTGAATTGCTTGTAGTTATCTTATTTGAAAGTTATGTCTAACTCAAGGGGAGTATCCTGAAGCATACTCACTTGATCTTAATGTACTTTTTTTCCTACGATTAGGAGCATTTTTCCCACTGGGTTTTTGCTACCTAACGAGGTTTTGATGAGACATCCATCCTAGGATGATCATACTCCGTTAAGTTCACTACTTTCGTCATGTATGACGTTTGTTTTAGACATTATGCATACTTCTCACTTTTCTCCTTAGTCTATGGGTTTTCACTTGTCTTAGGTTTTACCATATCGAGGTTTTGTGAGTTTTACAACCAATGCATACTTTCTTTAATTTGTGATTCGCATTCACCTGTTATGCCGACGACTTCATCAATTGTTCTACCTTATCTGCTGAAGACCTGATGCGATGTTTTGTTTAAGTATTTACACACTCAAGGGGGAATGTTGCAGTCATATTAGATTAGGAATGTGATTGTATAAATTTTAGTGTAGGCTAGGGATATCTTGGGATATTCCCTTTAGTATATATTATCCTATTAGAGTTGTAATCTTATTAGGGTAAGGATTTAACCTATCCTACTACTATAAATTAAGGATTTAACATATCTTATTACTATAAATAAAGGCACAATAGGGTGATAAAACACACACATCAGAATTACATCTTTCTTCTCTCTCTCTCTTGCCGCCGGCCCTTTCCTTCTCTAGTCCTAAATACAATTATGTAAATTAGGCCTACAACAATATATATTTCTTTTCTTTTTTGTTATTTGTGACAAAAATATATTTATTACGGGCATTGGTTGAGTTAGTAATCCACAAAGGCATAGCATGTGGTGTTAGTTCCTAATTTATCTTGGACACAATTTTTGGTTATATCGCATTTGACAACGGGCATCGTTTGTGATAAAAACTGAGGTTTTTTACCACATCAATATTTTGCCTTGAGTTTTCTTGTACTCACTTCAAAAAATTAACAACGGGTTCAACACAAAACGAAGAAACTTTTTTCCTAGCTGATTTTAAAAGAACAAAATTGAAAAAAGGAAAAAACTTTCTAGAAAACGATCAAGAAATATGAGAACAAAATCAAAACAAACATACATCTATATATAAAGCCGGCAGGGCTTGTGAACAGTGATTTTTGGGGTCACATGCTTCACAAAAAAATATTGGACAGAAATGCCTCTAAAACAAAAAACTTCAAAAGTAGCCCAAAGTAACGCATCAAATATGGTAGGGGTATTTTCATCATATAAACAATGATAAACAATATTTTTAATATTTAACTATTTACTGCACAATGATAAACAATGTTTTTAATATTTAACTTTTTCCTGTATAGTGTTTTTTGCATATATAATTAGTACCCCACAATGAGTTAGCAATAATGTGATTCAATTAGTTGTTTATTAAGTATTATTTTATTTATTTTTAAACACGTCAAAACATCTTAAGAGGAGCGTAGTGCCAGTTATAAAAAAGGTCTTTCGCACGAGTATAATAATGTGATTCAATTAGTGGTCAAATGATTGCCTTTTATTTATGTGAACACACGATGTTATCTACACTAGGGGGAGGGGATGGGCTTAACCTCACAATAAGCTAGCAATAATGTGATTCAATCAGTTGTTTATTAAATATTATTTTCTCTATTTTTAAACACGTTCAAAACATCTTAAGAGAAGCGTACCGCTGGTGATAAAAAAATGTTTTTCACACGCACACAATAATGTGATTCAATCAGTTGTTTATTAAATATTATTTTATCTATTTTAGGCGCATAGTGCCGGTTATAAAAAAAAGCATTTCAATTAGTTCAAATATTTGACTTTTTTTTTGTCATAAAAAAAAATTATGAAAGCAATTCACGCATATAAATACATTTAAAACGTGTAAATCGTGCATAACATGCCGTAATTCAAAAAATATCTTCTGCACGTACATGCTTAACGAGGTATATAAAAAAGGAGCAAATGGCCAAGCAAAAGGAAAGAAAAGGAAAATGCACTAACCGTTGTTACTCTGCTGTCTTTTTGTATATCAAATTTGTTAATTTGAATTTTGATTTAAACTCTAATCTATTGCCACATGTGTGGCAGAGATGAATTGTAATGATGATGGGCTATTGTCTAAGGGAGTTGTCCTGTGCACCGGGAACAATTATCCAAAAGGGAATATCAAAAAATCTTTTCATGAAAAACTTCAGCTGCTCTGTTTCTTTTCTTCTCTGCTTTCTTTGAGATATTCTTCTTTCTATCATCTTTATATATTGCTTGATAAACATGGCAGATGTTCTAATCCCAACATGGTATTTCTTTTATGAAACGTTTCCTCTCCTTAAGCATGTTGTTTATCTACCTATGACACATGATATTTCAATCTATCTTTACCCTATCTTTGTGTTTTTGTTGGGTTTCATTTACGTCTTAGATTAAATGTATTTATCTGATTGTACCATTTTTTTTATCTACTTCTGTCACAGGTTCTTTTTGTGTTTGCCAACGTGATCTATCTTCCTTTATTACAAAATTTATTGGGAAATACCCTAAAATAAGACAATTTCTTAATTTTGGGACAAAAATAAGACAAACTGAAGGTCATGCACAACATGTACAAAACCGAAATTATTAAAATACCCATATATAAATGAGTACTCTTTCCCTTGCTCTCTCTCTTCTCTCATTTTTTCTCTCTCTCTACTCCCTTTCCTTTCCTTAGATTTCTGAGCTCCGATTTCATAGAGATGGAAGTCCAAAGAGAGGCGAGAAGAGTGAGCTGGGTTTTGAGTTCACCTCATACCTTTGATTTTGAACAAATGGATGCAAGAGAGAGGTGAGAAGAGTGAGCTGAGTTTTGTACCATATTTTTTGTTTTGGTCGAAAAGTTCTATTTTTTCCCGCAACTGAAGCTTCGACAGGCATAGTAAGGCAGGGGTGTTTAGTACCAAGTTCCTTCATCAATGATTTATGAAATAAATTGGTTGTTTGTAAGATGGATTAATACTTAGAAGTTAAATTAGGGTTTGTGTTTCATGTTGGGGCGTATGGGTTGTGGAATAAATTTTAAGTTTTGACGTGCTACAAGATTGGGATGAAACAATTTTTTATTAAAGTGTTCAATTGCAGAAATTTGTGAAATTTTTTCCTTAATGTGCATGTGGTGTGCATATGGTGTGCATGACTACATCTTAATATGAGAAGCGGGAAGGTTCACTGGTTATGATGCATGTATGTTGTGCCTCAGAATTTAGTGAGTATGACCACAACCTAGTTGGCCTCGACGACAAACAAAATTAAGAAAAAAACGTAGATGACGTTAAGGGTCATGTGCATATACTATACATATTATGTGCATGTGGTGCGCATATAGTGTATTATGTGTAAATGGTGCGTATTCACATTTTTTATACTCTTCGCATTAACGTAGTTTACCAATTTGATTCAGAGGTAGGCCCTGCAAATACGAAAAAAGTGAAAGAGTTCGTGAAACAATTTCTTTTGATCCAGTTGGATTTTTTCGTGCCCATTCAAACTGCAATTTTTTCAGATCCTTGAAATATTTGAACCCAATTAAATTTGATACCAAATTCAAATTAATGAATCTTCGATTCTTCATGTAAAGTTTAGGGCCATTTTTCTGATTGAATCATTTTTTTGATTTCAAAGATAAAGCTGTGAGCTATGAGTTTTTGGGTTGAGCTCAAATCTATGTGCATGTCCTATGCATGTCGTGTACATACAATGTATGAGCGAGCTTAATACGAAGAGAACGAACGAGTACAAGAAACAATTTCGTCCATATCCTTCTCTCTTCCTACTTTCCACTCTAATTTCTCTCTTTTCCCTCAAAATTATCTCTTCTCCAAAAGGCAACTGACCTTTAATACGTTTTTTTTTTTCATTTAATTACAGCAAAAGCCAAACCTTATTTTAGTGTTTGTAAATTTGGATCGAGAGAGGGAGAAGACAAAAGAAATGAAAACCCACATATAAATCAAAGAAATGATAAAAAAAAAATAAAAAATAAAAAATGAAGGATTTGGGTCTCCTCCAAAAAACACTAAACAATCACTTCAACTCCAAAAATCCATCAATCAAAAAGCAAAATTAAGCAAACCCAGTTCATAAAACCTACGAATGCAAAGGTAAATGTCGAAGAAGATGAGTGGGTTAGAGATAGAGAGAGAGAGAGCTCTTGTGCATATTCGAAATGTAGAGAAAGAGATGAGAGAGAGAGAGAGAGAGAGAGAGAGAGAGAGAGAGAGAGAGTGGATGAAGAAGATGAGTGGGTTAGAGAGAGCTCTTGGATGAAGAAGATGGGTGGGTTAGGGTTCTTTGAACTAAAATTGGGGAGAGGGATTTTCGCTCTCTCCTCACTATTACTTTTTCTACAAAATGAGAAATGAGAGCTTAAATTTCCAGATAAACCATTTATATGGGAGGGTAATTTGGTCATTTCAAGATGTAGGAAAAATCTTATTTCTGTCCCAAGATTAAAAAATTGTCATATTTATAGGTATTTCCCAATTTTATTTTTCACCTATACAGTAGGCAAATATTGGGTTTTTTGTGTTCTCCCTGTAACGTAGGTATATTATACATGTATTTTAACCCTAAGATGGAGGTATCATATATGCTTTCAATTTCATCGTTTTCTATTACCTTGTACAACACAATATATGAATATGATGATTCAACCAGTTGAGAATCTTCCTGTAACTATGAGCGGTACTACCCCTTCTTCTTCATCTCATCATGCGTAAGTACATCCTATATCTAGCTTTTTAGCTGCTCTTCTATACTTGAAACTACTCTTGCTTTTGGTTATGAACAAGTATTTTTTTAGGTTTACAGTTTTGATACTAGGCTTGCTCTTCTAATCATATATTTATAATATTGCACAAGCTGAGTTCGATATAGTTTCTTCTTAAATTATTATTATAAAAAAAAAAAAAGGAAAGAGAGTTTGAAACTATTACAATGATTTTGAGGAAGGGAGTTTCGAAATTATTACAATATTTAGGGGAGGGGAGTTTCAAAACCATTACAATAATTTAAGGGAGAGGGAGTTCGAACCCAGGATACAACAACCTATTCAATATAATCTAACTCAACAAAATAAAGAAAAATAATAACGAGTAAAAATAATACCCCAAACCTAAACCGTGGTAGAAGTTACTTGAGGAAGCTCATCAGTTTGTTCTTCAGGTTCTGTTGCAAAACGTTGGATGATCATATTCAGATAGTCTTCCAATTTATCAAATGTACGAACAACTAATGCAACTGCACTTTCATACAACGTTTTAAGGTATTCGCTGGCGTACTCAGCTACAACCTTCAAAAACCAACCAACCCAGAAGAATCCGGCGACTTTCCCTAAACCTGGCACGAGGATTACTATTTCCAAAATCAAGGCAAGAGTTCCAAAGAGGAGGCTAATCTTATTGATCATTGATTCTGCCAAATCCGAATTAGGGTGAGCTTGCACGTGGAGTATTCTAGAGGCAATTAGTAATCCGCCATAAGCAATTAGCGCAACAATAAGGGACACCATAGCCGGATAGTCTGTGTCGAATAGAGACTCATTTCTAGCTCCTTGCTTCAGTGGGAGGAAACCGCCTAGCATGACGATGAAGGAACATATATATTTATGCACCTTTTCAAAACGTTCTTTGCTTCTGCTGTTATATATGTATAATGAGAAAATTAAATAGAATTGCATTAATGAATTATCTACAATATTTAACTAATAAGAAAATACTAGAGATACCATATTTTTGTTGTGTACTAATATAATATGACAAGTGATGTGTACATACCATGCCAATTAATGAATTTATCTCATTATATATATAGTTAATGAGAAAATTAAATAGAATTGCATTAATGAATTATCTACAATATATAACTAATAAGAAAATGTTAGAGAGACCATATTTTTGTTGTGTACTAATATGATATGACAAGTGATGTGTACATACCACGTCAATTAATGAATTTATCTTATTAAATGTTGGTTATATAAATCAATATATATATATATATATTAATCAAACCGATATATCATCTAAAATCAACTAATTAAGAACATATGATATATCTATAAATTAATCAAGTCATTATATCATCTAAAATCAACTAATTGAGAACGTATGATATACCTATAAATTAATCAAGCCAATATATCATATGAAATCAACTGATTAAGTAGGTAGGTTGTAACAGAGTACCTAGCTAGCTGCTATTTTCTTCAATGTTTGTTAACAATGAATCGATCTAGAGTTCTAGACATCCAACGCTCTTAATTTCTCAAAAAATGCCTAGACTTATAAAGAGCTGAGTTGTATAGATTAATTGCTAATTAATGAGTTCTTTTTGGTCTCCCATCATTTTCCCCAAATAAAAGGCAAAATAAAAAAGGCAAGCAGAGTATACACTTACCCTTCTATTTCTGTATGTAGAGGTACACTAACAGCAACGTCTGGGACCCGATCCATCTGATTATATATGACACTTCTGTACAGAGGAACACAAAAACAAAATTCTTATCGAAGACTCGTCACACCTTCACACACACAAACGCAAGAGCTCTGTTTTCTCTTTTCGAAAACCGAGAGCTCTGTTTTTTGTTTTGTATTGTTTAAATTCCGGCAAAAGAGGGCTCCAAAACAGATTTCAACGAAGAATATGGCCAATTGCAGCCATCAAGGTTAAGACAGTACTTAAGATGGCAAGTAGATATTCAAATGGTACCATAACGGTCCAGTGGTGAGTGCGATTTGAGCTACACACAAAATGAAAGCACAAAAAAAGAAAAAAAGGCACTTACTTTTGTGAGCAGGCAAGGGTCGAAGAAGGGAAGGAGCGTGGAAGTCGTCTTCAAATGCAAATTAATGAACCAGAAACATGATTTTGCGAGTGAAAAAGTGCAACTGGGCTCTGTGGGAATGTTGGGCGGAAGAGAAGACTGTCTCTGATTATATTTATACCGGTGGAGACGAGTCACTCACAGGTAACTTACGTTTGCGAGTTACCGTAGGCTTTTTGGATTGTCTCTGATTATATTTAGAGATTATATTTACGCCGTGGAGTCGGCTGACTCACATGTACCTTCCTTTTGCGAGTCACCGTAGACTACTAGACTTTCTGGATTGTCTCGGATTATATTTAGAGATTATATTTTCGCCGTGGAGTCGAGTGACTCACAGGTACCTTAGTTACTTTTTGCGAGTTACCGTATACTTTTTGGTTTTGAAAGTCTACTGAAACTGACATATTGTGTGAATGTTCAATCCGAAAGCATTAGGAAAATTTTATTTAAATCCACCAAATTTTTTTCTATACTCAACTTAATCTTTAAACGTGAATTGTCTTTTTTACTCTATTGCATAATTATCATAAAGTACAAGATGAAGTTAACAATAAAACTAAAATTTATGAATAAATCCACATCCTATAATTGAAACCTATCATCATTCCTTGTTTATCTTACATTCATTCCGGCAAAACCCCTAATAGCTTTTATAATAAAAACAAAGCTTTAAGAAAAATATCAAATCAGGAAATCTTTCTACATCACTGGTCTCTGTTGGGTTTGGGTTTTCAAAATTCCATTTGGAAATTTGAAACTCCAGGAAAAAGATCAAATAAAAATTCATCGAAGCAAGTGATAGAAAAATTAAAAAAAGCATAAATCTCTATTTTTAAAGAGCTAAAAATTCAAAGAAATTTTAAACCCATAGAACCGTAGATCTTTCAGCTCTCAAAATGACATTAAGTTGTAAGAATTCAAAAATTTCAAGGAGGACCTTTTGAAGTTTTGTTGTGGGTTTGATTTCTGAAATAATTTGGGGTTGCCTTGCCTGTAGATTCAAATATTGGGCATGAGGCAGTGCTACATTGATAGGTTTTGCAAAATTGAAGGCAGAGATTTTGGCGACTGCATTGTAGATAAATGGGTGTATAGCTAAATTTACAAATTGAATTGGGTTTGTGATGATAGTTTAGGTAATAAATTTGGGTTTAAAGATATATTGGTATCTTAATTTAAAGTAATATGAGTGTAAAAAGTAAGTTAGGTGTAGAAAAATGTTAAATGAGTTCAAATAAAATTTCCCAAAACATCATTGTGTGAATGTTAAAGTGAGTTATTTGGTTTTTTTTTTTCAGGAAAAGGATCCTCGTCGGATATTTTTTCTGGGAATCCTGGAAATCTCATGATCGTGACCGTTCATTGTACATCGTGAGTCAATTTTCGTTTAATACTATTTATATTTAATTTTAAATTTTAAATTTTGAAATAATTCTAACCTCACGATGTATAATAAACAATCGCAATCACATAATCCTCAAGAAAAAAATCCGGCGAAGATCTTATTTTTTTTTTTTATGTGAACATATTTGGTTTGTTTAGTCGGCCTATATGGTTTGTTTAGTCGGCTTATTTGGTTTTGAGACTGTACACTGGAAGCGACATTTTTGTGGTTGTAATGTTCACTAAGCTACTCTCGTTGTAGATTGCGAGATTCTATACTGAAAGCGACTTATTTTTTTAATGTACTGTTCACTAAATACAGCATTTGTCGTTGAAAACAAATCTTTTTTTTTTAATGTACTGTTCATTAAATACAGCATTTGTCGTTGAAAACAAATCTTTTTTTTTTAATGTACTGTTCATTAAAAACAAATCTTTTTTTTTAAATGTACTGTTCATTAAATACAGCATTTTGTCGTTGAAAACAAATCTTTTTTTTTTTAATGTACTGTTCACTAAATAAAGCATTTGTTGTTGAAAACAAATCGGTCAAAGTGCGACTTTTTTTTTTAATGTACTGTTCACTAAATACAGCATTTGTTGTTGAAAACAAATCTTTTTTTTTTTAAATGTACTGTTCACTAAATACAGCATTTGTTGTTGAAAACAACTCGGTCAAAGTGTCTCGTGTTACTTAATATTACAGTCTAATAATATTTCTCTTTATTTGTAAGTGAGAGGTTTTAAGTTCGATTCTCATCAAAAGCGAATTTGAATCACATTATTACTAACTCATTATGAGGCTAAGCACACCATCTACCCTTTAGGGTTGATAATATCATTTGTTTAAAAAAAAAATATATATATATATATATATATATATAGGCAGTATAGTAAATTCATATAAACTAAATTTTACAATTTTTTTTCAAAACCTTACCCAAAGGGATCTTAACATCCTCTAATTTTGAAAAATAAAATAATTAAAAAAAAACTTCTCTCCCTAAGACCAACTCCAATGGTGGGCTAAAAGCCAAATTACCCTCCAAAATTTCCCCCCAAACCCACTCCAACCCAAGGGGAAATTTTGATCTAAATGTTAAATGCTAAACCAATGCCAAATTCCCTCGAAATTTAGCCTAGAAATCGGGGTGGACTCTACCCAATATTTATCGGAATTTAAATTTTTTTAGATTAAAATGTTTATAAAATTAATTTACGATAGTCTACATATTTATTTTTTTTAAAAAAAATTAATTTAACAAAAAAAATAGTCTAAGTTCATTCTTTAATAATCTCGGGCTAAAATTTTAGGGTAGAACGGTTGGAGTAGAAAATCTGTTTTTGGGCTAAAGACTAAATTTTTCAAGCTAAAAAATTTGACTTTTAGCCCAACCATTGGAGATGGTCTAATCCACATTCCTTTTTTTTTTCTTCTTCCTACTCCTTCCTAGTTTAAAATAAAAATATAAATTATTTTCACACACAAAATGTGGGGCATATACTAGTTAATATTAATAGAACTCTGGTTGTCGACTAAAATTCTAAAAAATTACTATTCTAACCCTTTAATTAAAACTAAATACAAATAATATTTATGAGCAATTTAATAATTACATGAACATGAATTTTACTGTTTTTTTACATAACTGCTAGAAGTCCGGACGCCTGCGCTGCGTATAAGCCGTCTTCCCTTCATTCCCTTCCTGAGTGCCACAGAAAAAGAATGTGGCATCTCCAGCAAGTTGCTGCATTGGAAACATTGGCAAAGTAGTTAGCACACACATATATGAATAAGAGTGCAGAATCTTTAGAAACACGGATGATAACTGATGGTATTTGTAGTCCTACAAGAAATTTTTCATTGTAACAGGAATACGAATGGTACACTATGTGTTTTTATGTAAGTAGTGAGAAATTTTATTTTTTAAGTTATTAACTTTTTAACACACATATCCTACTATTTATATAATGACACATAATATATCATTTTGTGAGATGGTCACACTGAAATATCTCTCATAGTTCCACAATACCGTCGTCGACTGTATTAAGGGCTGATTTGGTATTGTTGTGCTTTGAAAAAAAGATGCTTCTGCTGTACTGTGAGAATAAGCAACTGTGAAATAAAGCAGCAGAGTGTTTAGTAAACTTTTTTGTAAAAGTGCTTTTGAAAAAAAAAAAAAAAGTAGTATTATAGCGTTTGGTAAACTTTTATGTAAAGCAGATGTGAAAAAAAGCTGGTTTTTCAAAGCTGGGTTTTGCAGCTCCTTGTTTTTGCCTTTTTTTTTCATTCAAAACTGTGAAAAAAAAACTGAAACGGAATGTTTACCAAACACAAAAACAGCTCCCAGCTTTTTTTTATACCAATTTTTTTCAGAATCATCTCAGTACCAAACCAGACGTGAGAGCAGACTTCAGCACCCGCGCGAAGTGCGGTTGGGCTGTTTTTAGCATTTCTTTGACACCATTTAGCCTGTTTCTTAAAGAGAGCCACTTGGGATTGGAGCATGTTATTTAGTGGCACGTGTGGATGAAGAGGAGCCGATGAGAAATGCGGGGGTCAACACACGCAATATGTGTGTGCCAAGTGCTAGTTTGTAAATTAAATCAAGTGTCACTTATAATAAATACACAGGTACATTAACATCTAAATAAGGTCAAATCGGATAAATGGTTCTAGTAGGTATTTGAAAAATAATCCCTACAGTAAAAAAATGCTAATTTAAATCCGTGTAGTGTAGTGTAGTCTGTTAGCAAATTTAATCTAAAAATAATTTTTTCGTTAAATGTATGGGTAGAATTGTACTTTGACGTGGTGTCATGAAAAACAATATTTAGCATACTTGAACAATTGTTTTGGCTTTAGCATATAGATTGTACCACGTGTATAATGATTTTTTTTTATTTCTTTTTTTTTTTAAATTGAAACTTCGTAAAAATACACCAATATTTTGGCGTACGGCATAGTTATGCTCAACATATACCCAATTGCAATAGCATAAGTACCGCTACATTATCGGTTGGGTTGGTTTTGCAATTAAACTGAGTAACTTCAAGTTTCGTTTGGCAGCTCGAACTGTACTGACTATTTCTGTCGGATAGGATAAATAGCCACCGAATAGTACTGACTAAATTAGTCGGGTGTTTGGTGCAGTATCAGACTAGTGACCGTATTATTTGTACTGTGTTTGGTATTATACTAGATAGAAGGAATCAAACTTAAAAAAAAGAAAATTTAAAAAAAGTGAAATCATTTTTTTGTTCCCAGATCTCTCCGCACCCCCCAAACACCCTCCCTCTCTCTCCCTTATTCTTCCCCAACTGCAGAAGAATTCCAAATAATTGTTCCCCAGCTCTCTCCGCAACACCCCCCAAACTTCCTCCCTTTTTCTCCCATATTCTTCTTCCCCGACTAAATAATCCGGACATTTTGGTTGGTTTTATTAAGCGGGTGTATACCGTGTTATCCTATCCGACCGGTTAAATTAATCCGACGCTCATTTAGTATGATTGAACGCCAAACACCCGAGTCCATATAACTAATCTTATCCGATCTGCCAAACAGGGCCTCAGGCCCCTTAATTATTTAGAATCAACAAACTCTATAGTTCATTTTCAATGGAACATTAAGATCCGATTCATTGCAATAATTTATCATCTAAAATGTATAACTTTGTCACGTCCCGATCCGGAGAT